GCTAGGGGATCTCAGCCCAGGTAAGCCGATTCCCTCTCTCTGGACCTGGGGGCGTTGGCATCCACAAGTTAGCTCCCTAGTCTTTAGCTACCTGTGGTGAAGACCTAGAGAGACCCCGAGGAGGCCTGTCACTCTTCCTAGGCAGTGGGTTGGCTGGGATTGTGATGAGGGATTTCATCCCCAGCCCCCTGCACCCCCGACCTGCTTAGCGTCACCCAGACAGCATCCTGACTTCGCCCCTGAACCAGGCTTGGTTTGTGTCCCCCACCTCCCTGCTCTCCGCCCAGTACCTTCCCTGCAGTGGGGTCCCACGTGTGCCTGCCAGTGTCTGGCTGCGAGGAAAGCTGGGATGTACCGAATCGAGCTATTTTTACCCAGTCCTGTCCCTGCAGAGCTGTTCTTTTGGCTCTGAGTTACCGCCTGGGAAGTGGAACTACAGCCAGGGCTGGGGATGGATGAGCCGGAGCCTCGGAGCCTCCTGGCCTCCCCTGCCCAGCCTGTATCTCAGCCTGACACTTAGTAAACTGTGTAATTAGCGTGCAGAGGGAGTAAGTGGAAGATGGCCCCAGTGGGGAGAAAGGAAGCACCTGCACCTCTGTAACTTGCAAACTTCAGGCTTCCAGAAGCTTGAACCCAGCCAGCATCCATCTGGTGTGTCGCTGGGGGTCAGCGGGATAGGGTCCCAGGGGGTTGGATAGAGGCCATCAGGCCTGGAGACACCCTGGTTGTCTTCTCTCAACACAATGAAGACCATAATAGCTCAGATTTATTGATCCTTCTCTGTGTGCTTAGCACGTGTACTAATTCGTTTCCTGATGACCAGTAACTCCCTTCTGCAGATGGGGAAACTGAGGCACGGAGCAGTTCAGTAAACCTAAGGTTGCAGAGCTGAGGGGTGGAGCTGGGGTTTGAACCCAGTCAGTCCACCTCCAGAGCTCACTCCCAACACCGTTCTGCACCCCTCTCTTCTCTGCCATGTTCCTAGTACCTGTGAGGTACGGGGCAGTGTTCTACGTAGGTTCTCTATGGCTGTCTTGCCAGCTGGCTGTTTCCAGCCCTGTTTTTAGATGAGGCTCAGAGACTGAACAGCTTGCCCAGGGTTGCACAGTGGCCAGTGAATGAGCCAGGCAGGCACCAAGGCCTCGGGGTTACCGCAGCTGGGCTCTTCCAGCGCCCCGTTCTGCCGCGCAGTTTGCGGCCACAGGTACCCACCACTCACCTGCCATGTGCCCCCTGTGATGCTGACTGCTGGGGGTTCGGACGCAGACGTCCCCGTGGTGACCTCCTTGAGGGCCTGCCTTCTCACAGGGAATGTGGAAGTGGGGTCCCTTGGAGTCCATGCCCTAGCTGCCTCGAAAATGGAGTAGTGGTGTCCGTGACTTGAAGATGGAGTGCCACTGGGGCGGTTGGGGGATGGGGAGGACCAGATGAAGTCCTCAGGTCTGGGCCCTTCCATACCCCCCTCTGGCAGTGTGGACGGCAGGGCATTGTTGGCCTCTCTGAGGCCAGGATGACCTCTCCCACCATGGGTATTTTTTTTTTTTAACCAGCTATTGAATTCAGCCCATGCCAACTTCCTACAGAGGAAGGGGTGACTTTGGGACCTGCTGGCAGGCAAATACTGCCCTCCCTGGAGAGGGGCCTCCGTGGCCAGCCTGTGTGCCTCTGGGTTCCCACCTCTAGCCTGGCCCAGCTACATCCAGTCCCAGCCAGAGACGGGCTGGGGATATGGAGGGGGACGCTGGAGATGCAGACCTGCCCTTCCAGAGCAGTTGGTTAGGGCCTGTTTTCCCAGCTGCAGGCCTCCGATCTCTCTAGAAACCCTTGGTTTCTGATCATTCCCCAGACCTAGCCTCTTGAGGAAGGCGTACTTCCTAGTCTCCAAGCCGATGAGTAGTTAGTGGCCTGTCTAGCACCTTCCAGCTACCACCCATGCTTTGCCTCCTTTCCTGAGGTGTTTGGGATCAGAGTAGGCTGTGCCCACTTCCAGCAGCACCCCTCCCAGGCCCGGTGCTACACCAGGCCCTTCTCCAGAGGGCCCAAAGGGATGGGAGCAGGCTCAGGACATTCCCGAGGGAGGAGCAGGGGTGATGGGACCACTTTTGTCCAGGACAAATGCCAAACCAGTACTGACTGTCTCGACCAACCAGGGTATCTAGTTACTTTTCTTATAGCTGTCTTTATATTATTTGAATTTAGGGAGAAACTACTAGAAAGGGTTTTGGAGTCCTAAAATTTTTAACTCACCTTGGGCTAACCACAGTGGTATGAATGAAAAGGTGTTAATATGGGGAGGTAATTGATTTTAAGAGAAAAGGCTGGAGGTTGAGAGTCTGCATGCATGTGTACATGTGTGTGCACACGTGCGTGCGTGCGTGCGTGTGTAGCGAGGGGACGCTGAGGGGCCAGGACTCCACATGTCAAGAGCCTGGCTTCTGTGGCAGGAAGTCCTAGGGCAGTGCCGGCCCACTCTGAGCCTCATCCTCCCCAGGTGTCCCATGAAGACTACGAATCCTGTTCGCATCCTGGATCTCCTCTGGGGCTATTGTCAGGGCCAGCTGGGGCTGTGTGTGTGGGAGACAGACCACCTGCTTTGTCGACTGTGAAGGGCCAGGCACATGTGGACTCTGCTCAGTCAGAGGATAGAATTATGCCTGAGAAGAGGGTGGTCTTTTTGGGTGGGAGTGACCCCTGTGGGGGCATCTGACCCCTCCCACCCGCCTGTGGCTGAGGACAGGCCATTCTTTCCTCTTGGCCCAGCTGTTGGGAGTGGGTATGTTGCTCTAGGACATCCGGTGAGAGGGGGCCGTGGTCCCCACCTGCCTGTCGTGAGCTGGGTGTCTCTGGGCAGAGTGCCTGGCAAAAAACGGGGCCTCTACATCTCCGTGTCCAAGGGAACAAACATGAATTAGCCACCGGCAGCCCGGGCCGAACGCCTGCAGAGCGTGGCTGCTGGTCCCTACTCAGGGCCCTGCCTGCCTCCGGGGAGTGTGCTGGGCAGCAGACCCCCAGGACCCCTGACGACCGAACTTTGAGAGCAATATAGGCACCGGTACCCCACAGTCCAGTCCTGCCCTGCCACCAACTCCCATGGGGCCCCAGGCAAGTCCCCCCGACTCATGGGGAAAAGGAGACCCAACTCTTGGGACTGTGAAGACCAGAAATGGCCATGGACTCCTGGAAGCCCTGGGGCAGGCCTTCCTCGCAAGCGCTAAGCTCCCACTGCCGCCATGGCTGAGAAGTCAGAGAGCTCGCAGGTGAAAGAACAGAGCTGGGCACTGCCCCTCTGGGGGCCCCCGCTCTCCCCGCTGGGCTGCCTGGCCCCGCGCCTGGCCCGCGGTGGGAAGCAGGTGGCGCGGGCGGGAATGTCAGGCTCCACACTTACCAGCACACTCCTCTGATGCGCACTCTTCTCGTTATCACCCCAAGATGCAAAATGCGTGACGTGTGGGTTGCAGTGGAGCCAAGCCGGTGGTGGCCAGAGAGGTAGGGAGCCCTCGGCCTGCTGGCCGGAAGAGCTCTGGAGTTCTGGCAGGCTACCTTCTGAGCTCGTGAATACCCTCGTTCGTGAACTGGGGCTAAGAAGCCCCGTTCTGAAGTGTTGTCATGAGCCCACAGACTCTGTGCTAATGCTCAGCTCTGTCTCTGGACCTTGGGGACTGCTTAGTACATGGTGGTTTCTCCTGGGACGCAGCTTCAGGCTTGCCGGTGAGGGGACCTTGTTTAGGGCCCCAGATCCAATGAGGCTGGGAGCCGTGTGGGATTGGATGAGTGACCTCGAGGTAGAAAGGGCCATGTGAACACTAGGGGTGGTTTTAATTACCCAGCCCCTCGGCCTCCACAGTCAGGGGACCCTGGCGGCCTGATGCCAACTTTATTAGTCCATCTGATGCTTGGCCCGAGTCAGGGCACAGGCAGGAGCCAAGCTCATTAATTGTCATCTCTCCTTAGGCCAGGAAGTGTTGGCCAGGAGAGACCACCAGGAGGGCTGCCTGCCTCCTTTCTAGGGGGGCCCAGCCAAGCCTGTCGCTGACCACCTCCCTCACATGTGCCTGATCCTGTTCTCATCCCAGGCACCTGGAGGCCCTGCCCAGGCTCTGTTCGGTCACGCCTCTCGCAGTCCTGGGGCTGCAGGGAGCACCTGTCACGGAGGGCTCTGCCAGCCATCACCGGGGAACACACCTGAGAACCTCGGGAGTAGCTTGACATCTCAGAGGGGAGCAGGGGGAGGCAGGGCCCCCTTGGAGGTGGCAGCTCCAAGAAATGGTTTGCAGAGAGCTGCCTCTCTGAATAAAGCCAGAGCGCTTAACCTGGAAGGTGAGGTTCCAGCAAGTATGTCTCGTGCTGACATTGGGCTGGGCCGTGCTGGGCACCGGGGACCACCCCCAAGCTCAGAATGGAAGGGCCCAGTGTTCTCACTCCCCAGCATGGCTGGGGTGGGCCCCGGCAGACTGCCCCTCTCAGGCTGAAGCCCCGTCTTATGGCCAGGATTCATTCGCTGAGGTCCTCCTGTGTGACGCCGTTATCCTCTGAGATCCCATTGTCTTTCCCAATTTCGGGGGAGAACTGTGCTTCACAGAGGTCACCTGACACACCTGGAATCATGGCGGGCAGATTCCATGCTGTTCCAGCTCTGTTAGGTCGGGGTTGTCACTCTTGAGGGCCATTCATTACAGCTCTGCCCTTAACTCTGTCACACAGCATTTGGCTGCTTATGCAGACCATGATGGGGACCCTGACGAGGCTGTCCAGGTGCCCTCAGCAATGTAGCCGGCCCCCTCTCCATAGATGGCTGTCCCCGGGGCTTCTGGCAGCCACTGTGAGAGGTCCCAGACAGATCACCTGCCAGGCATTCCTGTTCTCAAGGTCCTGGGGTCTGGGCCTCCCTGTCCCCCACCCTCTGCTGTTCCTGGCCCTGCTGACATTCTTGCGGTCTGATGAGGTGTGCTGGGCCCCAGGGAGCCAGTCTCACTCATTCTGTCCCTCTCTGTCTTTCCCAGGGCAGCGAGGTGCCAGGCCTGACCTTTGCTGATGGCGAGCTCCTCCCCAGGGACCCCGGCTTCTTTCCCGAGGACGAGGAGGAGGCTATGACACTGGCCCCACTCGAGGGCCCCCCCGAGTCAGACATCGACAGCCCCATGGAGAGCACCCAGAGCCTGGAGGGGTCAGTCGCCGAGGACAAGGATGGAGGGCTCGGGGGCCTGTTCCTGCCAGAGGACAAGTGAGTCTGTCTGGAGCTCCAATTACTGGAAGGTGGTAGTCGAGGCCAGCCCGGAAACTTGGGCAGGGAGGGGGTGTCAGTATCAGTTGAGCCTATGAGATCATCAATTCTTCATCAGTTTTGACCTTAAAAAAAAAAAAGACAATTTCACATACATTTTCTCAGTGCAGGGCCTGTCTGGGAGTCAGGCTGTTCTCGGGGGTCTTTGGAGTTGTTCGTCCATTTTGGGTCCTGGGAACAGTCTGTCAGCAGTACTGTGACCAGCCACCGAGGACAACTGGTCAGGGACCACAGACCTGTTGACCATCTGGCTAGCCATTTGCTACTTGGTCATTCACCTAGTTTTTTGGGACCAGTCACCAGGAGGCAGCCGGCTGGCCCTGTGGGGGCGGGCGGCCAAGAGTTTTAGTAAAATGGGAGAAAGAGAGACCAGGATCGCTCAAGGGCAGGGTGGGAGCATTACTGCTTCTGACCCCACTCGGTTGTCTGGTTTGGAGTGTGGAAGCCTAGTAGGTCGGAGAGACCGTCTCTTAGGAGTGATGATACGCAAACACGACCTCACAACAACTAAAGGGAATATCTGTTCCTTCTCAGGTTGCAGACAGGGCTCAGCCCGCCCCTGACACGGTCACAGGCCACGGGGGGCGGGGGGGGGTCACCCCGAGAGCCCTAGGGTCTCTGACCCATGTTCTTTGAAGCGAGGCTTCTTTGGACTAGAAGCCGCCTCCATAGACCAGGAGGAGCGCCTCCCTTGGTAGCTCGCGGTTATTTCTTTTAAAACTTCATTTCTTAAAAAAAAAAAAAAAAAAAACTTCATTTCTTATTAGAGTCCAGGTCAGTTAAACAGAACCTGAAAAAGGTTGGAACCGGAGAATGGAGGGGAGTAACTGAGCTAGTTCTCATCCCACCACCCAGCCCCCAGCCCCATGACCACGGAATCAGTTCCATGCCCTTCTTTTCCTTATTCTGTAAATACATTTTACTTTCTCCAGCTTGAGTTTTTACATGGAACTTTTAATTCATGCTTATTTTTCCATATTATTGCTAGTATTATTTACAGACCTTCAACAGTTAGATAACCTATAATTTGATAGTTTCATTTCCTAATCCATATTCTAATTTTGCAACCGCAACTTAATCATTTAATGCGCTAATATTAGCAGTATAGAGTGTATCATTTTATACTGTAAATGTTATGATAATTTATTGTGACTCAGTGTAGGGAACCCATTAGGTGGTAAGCAGTGTTCTGCTGTTCTGGTTTGGACGTCTCTTGTGCAGAAACCGTTTCTGTGGTGAGGTGTTTCCCTTAGGATGAGGTCCCCCAAGTGTATTACCAGGTTGAAAAGCAAAAACTTGATCAGGCTTCCGATCTCTGGGGTGCCGACTGACCTCCCAGAAGGCTGGTGGGTTTCTCCAGCACGGGCCGTGAATAGGGTTGTGTTACCGGCCAGCCTTCTCTGACACCCAGGTCCCTGGGCCACACTCCGTCCATGACCACGTCAGACCTCTCCACACACTCCACCACCTCGCTCATCAGCAATGAGGAGCAGTTTGAAGACTATGGGGAGGGGGACGACGTGGACTGTGCCCCCAGCAGCCCCTGCCCCGATGATGAGACCAGGACCAACGTCTACTCGGACCTGGGATCTTCAGTGTCTTCCAGGTGGCCCCGGGGTCTGGAATGGCATTTGGGGTACAAGGAGAAGTGGCAGAACCAAACCAACCTCGTCCCAGGGGTGTTCAGAGGGCAGAGTCCTAAGCTGCATGGGTTCTGCTCCCAGGGTTTGGGGGTGCTGCCTCTGCATGCTGGTTGGGGATCTAGAGTTCCTTCTCCCTCCTCCTATCTTGAGGAGGAAACAGAATAAACCCACCTAGGAGGCTGCAGACTCGGGAGTCTTCTTTGTCTTGCTTCCTAGGAGAAACTTGGGATTGAAGGATCCTTCTCGGTGACACATATACCTAGTCATTGCTTACTCTGCCTGTAGCTCTCAGTTGCCATATCTGTGAAATGGGCTTCTCATTCATTGGCTTGTCAGAGTATTAAGGGAAGGGAGATCTAGTGCTGTATTTCTACTTCCTCTGCCCCTAAATGCACACACACTAGGGTCACCAGTAGCGAAATCCGGTAAAGCAAGCTCAGGAGGATGGGGTGAGGCTGCAAATTGGAGAGCAGGGCATGATTTCCTTCTCTCTCCTGATTCAGTGCGGGGCAGACTCCTAGGAAAATGCGCCACACCTACAACAGCGAATTGCTGGATGTTTACTGCTCTCAGTGTTGCAAGAAAATCAACCTGCTGAATGACCTGGAAGCCCGACTGAAAAACCTGAAGGCCAACAGGTGGGGCCCCAGGAGCCAGCCGAGGGATGGGAGGCCAGGACTAGGTGGGGCGGGGTGGGGGGGTACCCAGCAGGGGAAGCCGCAGGCGAGGTGGCCCCCCTATGTCTGGACAATGAGAGCACTGTCGGAGGAGGATTGACCCTGGGGAGCTTGCATTTTTCTGTGACAGGAAGGTCGGGGTGCTTCTAGTTGGGACCAAGCTGATGGGTGAATTCCCTGCCGGGGGTGGGACAGAGCCCTGTACTGCACTTTGGTGGTCTTGCAGGCAAGGTATAGTAAGCGGTGGGCTGGAGCCCCTTCTGTTCAATGACTGTCCTCTCTCTCTATATATATATTCTCTCTCTCTCTGTAGCCCTAACAGGAAGATCTCTAGCACAGCCTTCGGACGGTAAGGCCCCCCTTGGGAGGAGGGGTTGAATGCTGTCTCCCTTAACTATGTTCCTATTATCGGGGCCACCAGCTGAGCGCCCAGAGGGGAATGAAGAATTCTAGAAGTGCAGGCCAAGTGGCCGGAAGAGGTCTACTTCTGAAAAAGAAGGGCCCCACTCCTCCCGCCCCCACACTTTGCGCCTTCTGGCGCTGGACCAGTTGGCCTCTCCCCAGCCCCTGGCTGTTTCAGCTTCAGGCAGGCACATCGGGGATGCCCCGAGAGACCCAGCCCATTTCCCAGCCCTTGGTGGCCCTCTCCACACTCTGGGGCCAGCAGCTGGACCAGCACCTCCCAGGGCTCCCACTCACAGAGATTGGACAGCAGGTGCCCCAAGGGAACTGGTCACGTGGCTCCAGGTTACAGCCTGCGCAGCTGACCTCCGGGCACTTCCAGGATCCCACTCTGGATCTCAGGATCCATGTTGTCCTATAGACTGGGCTGGGTCCACGCCTGGCGCTCTGGGAGCTGCTGGCGGTAAGCACCCAGGCTCTGGCTCGGGAGCAGGGCTGGGACAGGAGAGCCTGCTGGTAGAGACACTGGCTGCTGCCTGGCAGGGAGCGGGAAGTGGGAGCCCCTGGAGAATGGGAGCTGGGTTTTGCTTCTGGCAGGAGTTCCCCAGGCACATGTTTCCTGTTTGCAGACCCACCTGGCCCACTGCCCTACCCAGTCTGGGTGGGCCTCCTTCCCTCTGCCCTCAACCAGGGTCCCCAGGGATGCAGCAGAGCCGATTTGACGGAGGGGATTGAGTCTTGGGGGAAGGCCTCAGGAGGACCCTGTGCAGTGGCCTCTGCAGCCCTCTGCTCCTCCCTCACCCCTGCAGTCCCCAGAGGGCTGGCCTCTGTAGCCCACCTCGCTCCTTCCTACAGGCAGCTCATGCATAGCAGCAACTTCAGTAGCAGTGATGGCAGCACTGAGGACCTGTTCCGGGACAGCATTGACTCCTGTGACAATGACATCACGGAGAAGGTGGGTCCTGGGAGGCTGGAGGGCGGGCTTCATGTGTGCGTGCTCTCTGGGGCTCATGGGGAGGGTGCCCACAGCTCTCTGGGGGTCTGGGAGGTGGAGACCCTGTCCTCGCTGCAGGAGGTGGGGAAAGGCAGCCCTGATAATGTGGGCACATATGCCCACACCCTCCCCACCCTCCATATGCAGTCCCCTGGGGGTGCTGACCATCCGTGCCGCGGTTTCTGCTGCTCCGTCCTGTGGGCTCAGGGGTCTCCTCCTCCCCCACTACTGCCTCCCTTTTGCAGGTGAGCTTCCTGGAAAAGAAGGTGACCGAACTGGAGAATGACAGCCTAACCAACGGGGACCTGAAAAGCAAGCTGAAGCAGGAGAACACGCAGCTGGTGCACAGGTCGGGTCAGGGGGCTTGCTCAGGGGGCTCTGGCTGTGACTCGGGAGCAGTTGTTGGTCTCTGTTGTGAGGGCCCCTGAGAAAAGCTGGGGAGATCACCCACATGTCTTGTCCCTCCCCTCTAGATTTGTGATGCATCAGCCCCTTGCTATGTGGCCCTGCCCCTGCAGGTACCCCAGAACTGGTCTCTGGGGACTCAGAAATGGGTTGGAGCTTGACCTTGACACCCAGGTGTGCAGCCCCGGGGTGGGCAGGAGTTGGGATCCACTCTATTTCTCTGACCGACAATGAGGAGTGTCTGATCCCCACCCCCCAACCATCTGGGGTAGGCTGTGCAGAGGGAGATGGCTGGTGTGAGTCGGGGGCTTGCACCTGCTGCTGGTGGAAGGGCCCGGGCTTCACTGCCCCCTACCCCCCGCCCCCCAGGGAGGCCCACTCACCGTGACTGCAGCGAGGTAGCACATATAGAGTGTAGTAATCCTCACAGGATGGCATGACACTTGGTAAAATGATCCCCAGCGGGGCTCTGGTCCTCAACCTTGTAGGGTCCAAGGATGGGTTCTCCTGGACACCCCAGAAGGTCAGCCTCCTAGAGGAACTATTACCAGTGAAATGTATGCTAGACTGCTCCATTAGCTAGGCTGCCGGTGGGACCCAGCCCTATCCTGGGTCTGGCACACTCAGGGCCACTATCAAAAGACTTGCCTGTTTTTGGAATCAAGGCAGCCAGTCGCTGACTTGCTTGTCAGAGGGCAGTGGCCAGGAAGGAGGAGAGCAGAAAGAGGAACTGGGGTTCCCGGGGGCTGCTTCATGCAGCCAGGGCGAGGCCTGCCATAATTCCCCATGCCTGGCCCGGGAATCCCACCTTCCCCGCGCAGCCTTGCTCCCCTCTGGACCAACCGCCAGCTCCTCCCCTGGGTGGTGAACTTGGCCTGTCCACCCCCCTTCTGTGATGTGGTGTCCCAAAGTCATGTCAGCGAAGCTGCCAACCCCCAGGCCTGGAAAATAGGCCGCCACTTCCCACAGTGGGGCTGTTACTGAGCTGGGGTCTTGGGGCCAGGGGCTCCCAGCGTCACGGCCAAGGTTGGGGTGGGAAGACAGCAGCCATGAGGGCTGGCGCTGGGCCAGAGTGTGCCCTCCCCTCCGCAGGGTGCACGAGCTGGAGGAGATGCTGAGGGATCAGGAGGCCGTGGCCGAGCAGGCCCTGGAGGAGGAGGCGCGGCGGCACCGGGAGGCCCACAGCAAGCTGGAGAGGGAGAAGAGCACGGAGATCGAGCTGCTCAACACCAGGTGGGCCTCTGCCCCGAGCAGGCTGGCGCGCGGGACAGGGCCTCTCCCCAGAGCCCTCTGCCCTCCGACGCGCCCTCCAGTCCTTGTGCAGGCCTGGGGCGGGCACTACTCCTATCATGGAGACCGGAACACAGAGCCTGAAAGACCAGAGCCTGAAAGGAGGCTCCCTGTTCCAACAGTTCTCCTCTTGGTGGCTGAGCTCCGGGACGTGTTTCCCGGGAAGTACATAACAGACCTTGTGGTCCCACTTCCACACCAGGTACAGCTGGAAACAGCACCAGTCTGTCAAGGCAACAGGTGGAAAAACGTCTTTCCCCTTGTCCTGGGCTGGGTCTCATGTCCAGGCTGGGAGCTCCCCCTGCTGTCAGATTCTCCCTGACCCTGAACACTTGGGTGCATTGACCCCAGGCCCCAGGGGCCAAGGTGAATGGAAAAGCAGGGCCTGGTTTCCTCGGGGCTTCTGAGCTGCAGGGATAGCTGCTGGGAGCTGAGGCTGGTAGAGAGAGAGGAGTAATGACCTGGGAATCTGGGTTGGTCACTCTTTAGCTCCATGACTTTGGACTACCATGTCCTTTCCTGGACCTCTGTTTCCCCATGTCTCATCCCTCCCTCCCAGCCCACCAGAGTGACCTGAAGGCAGATGAGTCAGGGCCCCGTGGCCCTCACTAATGAGTCAGGCCGGCGAGGCCCCCTGGAGACCACCTGGATCCCTGGCAGGGAGGACGCCTGCCCCTGTGCTCCTGGGGAGCCCTGGGGAGCCCAGAGGGCAGTGGAGGCCTGGAAGCCATTGCTCCAGGAAAGAAGGAACAAGTGCAAAGGAGAGGGAATGTTCTGTAGGGATCAGTGGCAGAAATGACCCCTCCCTGTTCCATTGCCATTGACATAACAACTTCGGGCCCCCTTCTCAGGTCATTACGATGACCTGGGTACCTGGGCTGTGTCTCCCCGTGGAATCCCATTAGTATGGCCCCCCATGAACACTGACACAGAGGATTATGACCGTCAGAATCTATGTCTGTGGGTATGCAGAGGCAGCTGCTGGTATGCCAAGCAAAGAGCCTGGGAGGCAATGCCAGGGTGAGAAAGATAAGCAAATACTGTTCCTCTCTGTGAGTTCTAACAGGAAGGCCCAGCCACAGGAGGACTTTCTCTCTGTTTAGCAGAAGAACATCCCCTGTTTCAGGCTCTGAGGACACATGCAGAAAGAATCCTGCGTTCTTACTCACAGATGAGTGTTTTCTTTACATAAGGATGGTCATTCAGTGTCTTTACCATTTGCCTTGGGTGACAGGAAGCTCTTATTTGCTCTCTGTTGCTTTCTGGTACCTTCCCTTGTCCAGGCAGCAGGGAATCGCTGCAAATTGTCGATCTATTCTAAGCCCCTCTCCTTTCCCCAGGGTGCAGCAGCTAGAGGAGGAAAATGCTGAGCTCAGAACAACAGTGACCCGGCTCAAGGCACAGACGGAGAAGCTGGACGAGGTGAGCGGCAGGTTTGGGTGTCTCAGACTTGGGTATTTTATTGTTCTTTTTAAGATTTTATTTATTTTGGGACGCCTGGGTGGCTCAGTTGGTTAAGCAGCTGCCTTCGGCTCAGGTCATGATCCCAGCATCCTGGGATCGAGTCCCGCATCGGGCTCCTTGCTCGGCAGGGAGCCTGCTTCTCCCTCGGCCTCTGCCTGCCATTCTGTCTGCCTGTGCTTGCTCGCTCTCCCTCTCTCTCTCTGACAAATAAATACAATCTTTAAAAAAAAATAAAAATAAAAAAAACAAAACCTTTAAAAAAAAAAAGATTTTATTTATTTTATATGACAGAGAGACACAGCGAGAGAGGGAACACAAGCAGGGGCAGAGGGAGAGGGAGAAGCAGGCTTCCCGCTGAGCAGGGAGCCTGACGCGCCCCTCGATCCTAGGACCCTGGGACCTGAGCTGAAGGCAGATGCTTAACACTTAACAACTGAGCCACCCAGGTGCCTGACCCTTCTTGAGCTGAATCCCCAGAGAAGCAATGTTGGCCACAAAGGCCTTCAGTTGCTAGTTTCTGGAATTCTAACAGAATTGCCCTAACAGCAGCAACAACAGGCAATAAAATATGAATAGTAATTTGCCTTTCTATATTTTTGATTTTCTAAGTTTTTTTTTTTTTAAAGATTGATTGATTGATTGATTGATTTGACAGAGATCACAAGTAGGCAGAGAGGCAGGCAGAGAGCCGGCGGGGCGGGCAGACCCCCTGCTGAGCAGAGAGCCCGATGCGGGGCTCGATCCCAGGACCCTAGATCATGACCTGAGCCAAAGGCAGAGGCTTTAACCCACTGAGCCACCCAGGCGCCCTCCAAGTTTATTTTTTAGAGTGAATGTAATAAATAATAAGAGAGAAGGAGGTTAGCTTCTGTTTGGCCACCCTGATTCAGGTTTCTTCTGCCACCACTGAAGGACGTCAGAGGCCTGGCATTTTTTCAGCTGTGTTTCTAGAATCCTAAGGGACCTGGCTGTTTCTTTCTTTCTTTCTTTTTTTTTCAGATTCTATTTATTTATTTGACAGAGATCACATATAGGCAGAGAGGCAGGCAGACAGAGGCAGAGAGAGAAGCAGGCTCCCTGCCGAGCAGAGAGCCGTATGTGGGGCTCGATTCCGGGACCCAGAGATCATGACCTGAACTGAAGGCAGAGGCTCAACCCACTGAGCCACCCACGCACCCCCTGGCTATTTCTTTAAGCCATGACTCCACGGCTCTGTGCCTGCGGCTGACGCAGATCCCCACTGAGTCCCCAGGGCATAGGGAACCTCTCTGGGACTGCTCTGCCCTGACCCGGTCACCCTCCCCACACACACCCCCGGCCCCCCACTCCAGGAGCGGCAGCGCATGTCCGACCGGCTGGAGGACACGAGCCTGCGGCTCAAGGATGAAACTGACCTGTACAAGCGCATGATGGACAAGCTGCGGCAGAACCGCCTAGAGTTTCAAAAGGAACGGGAGGCGACGCAGGAGGTGGGTCCCGGCCGGGGTTGGGGGGTGGCGGTGGGGAATGCCAGGGCTCGCTCCCGCCGGCCCCGCCACCTCCAGCCTGCCTGTCTCCCACACAGCTCATAGAGGACTTGCGGAAGGAGCTGGAGCACCTGCAGATGTACAAGCTGGACTGCGAGCGACCGGGCAGGGGTCGCAGCTCGTCCTCCGGCCTGGGCGAGTTCAGCGCCAGGGCCCGAGAGGTGGAGCTGGAGCATGAGGTCAAGAGGCTCAAGCAGGTGGGCGCCAGGCAGCCTTCCATCCCTGCGGGCTGGGTCTCCCCAGAGGGGCTGAGAGCTGCGGCACTGCCTTCCCCCGGCTGGCGGGGCTGCTCAGGCCCAACTTGCTGCTCAGCGAGGCGGCTTCCCTCCCGGCTGCGTCTCATGCAAACCCCAGGGCCTTTGCTTGGACACCACTCTGCTCTCCTTGGTGATGGGGGGAGAGTGAGATTTCACCCAGTTACGGATTGGTGTCTTGCTGTGTTGGCTCCTCCCAGAAGCAGACCCCGAGCCCAGGGTTCCATTTCAAATAACTGCTGGGAGCAGTCATGTGATCAGAGACCAGCTGGGGGAAGTGGGATCGGGGGGCGGGGGGGGAGCGGGGGGGGCAGAGACCAAGCGAGGGTGTGCTGGTGAGTGAAGCCCCCACTCCGCAGCCCGACCCTGGGTGTAGGGAACTGCTCTAAGTTACACCCCTGAATCAGCCTTTCCCGCGCCCCATAGCAGTCCTAAAACCCCAGCCCTTCCTCGTTCATGACAGGATGTCCAAAGTCCCAAGTGTGAGCACTTAGGAGACTTGGGGCAAACGCTAGCATGTGGTGTTGGCCCATGGGGTCTGGGCAGGGCACGGTGGGGCCACCTGCACTCAGGAGGAAAGGTGCCCCTGGAAAGAGTTCTCCCGGAGCAGGATTCCTGAACCTAGCTACGTACGGAAGGAGCCTAGATCCGGCCTGCCGGCCCAGAGACCCCAGAGCCTCACTCTTTACAGAGGTCCGCTGTTGGAAAAGGAGCCACCCGGTGGGGCATGTCCCCACGTGGGGCATCAGGAGCTCCTCTTCTGGCTCATCCTCCCCCAGGGAGGAAGCGTAGACAGGAGCCCTGCCCCTGTCTGGAAATGTAGTTCCCCCGAGCAAGCCTGTAACTCCTCCTCAGGACCCTATGACCTCCCAAGATCCAGACCTCCACCCTAAGCCTGGCAGAGGACACATCATGTATAGGCTTCTTGAGCTGGCCATGACACACACGAGGGGAGGGTACTGGTAGCAGTCAGGAGACAGTGAGTGCCAAGAAATGGGTTCTGGTGGGTTCTGGATGCTTCTGGGAGTTGATGTTGCCTTTGTCCTCCTGCACAGGAGAATCATAAGCTGCGGGATCAGAATGATGACTTGAATGGACAGATCTTGAGCCTCAGCCTCTATGAAGCAAAGAACCTCTTTGCCACCCAGACCAAAGCCCAGTCTCTGGCTGCAGAAATAGACACAGCCTCTCGTGATGAGGTAATGTGCCCATTCCTCCTTCCTTTGGCGCCTCGGCCCCTCCTCTATGAGTCCTGTCCCATTCCTGTGTGCTGTGATGATAAGCGCCAGGCCACCCGGAGCAGGACTGATGTCCTGCACGTGCTGGGAGAAGCCGGGGTTTGGGAACAGAGCGGAGTTTGAGTCTTTGCTCCGCCAGAAGCATGCCATGGATCAGCAGGCTTGCTTCCATCAGCAGGTAGTGCGGAGAGGCTAGAATTCCTCTCCCTCAAGCCAAGAGGGGAAGGACCCTAGCCTTTCCTGAGCAGCTGCCTGTCTGTATCTTCTGACAACTGGAAGGCTTTCTGGATGCTTCCATGTTGCAGCTTGGGGAACCAGGACACAAGATCACCCAGCCTGGGAGTGAAGGACCCAGGTCTCCAGAACCGAAGTCCATCCTTTCTGCCCTACTAGGGTGTGGTTATGAAGGCCCAGGCCTCCAGAATGCCCTGGTTACATTTTAACATCAATTGGAAGAAGTCCCTAAACCACCTAACCACGTGCTTGGGACACAGAGCTAAGAGCCCATCCCTAGTCTCGGGGGCTCCCACCTGGAGGCAGAACCAACATCTTCTCCTAAAGGACATATCAGGAATGGACCCACACAGGCGGGGCTGGGGTGGTGACCGGGCCATTCCAGGTAGAGGAAACAGCCAGAAGCCGTAGGAGTCTTAGGGCCCTGGGACTTAGGATGTCGTTCTTGATCATAAATGTCTTTGGCTAGTGTCCTCAGCCTGTCCCACTTGGGTCCCTCCACAGACCATCTGGGGTTGGGGCATGGGCAGGTGCACAGCTCACACTCCTCAGGTGTGAGCGGCTGATGCTTTAGCTGGTTCCAGAGGCTGAGTGCCAAGGTTGGTCCTGGGGCCTGCCTTGCCCAGGGTCTCCTGAGCCCCTTGGTCGTCGGGCACTGGCTCACATGTGAGCTGACAATCAGCTACCTCTGCACCAGAGCCCGGGCCTGGCCTCTGACCTGCATCTCCCATTCCCTCCAGCTCATGGAAGCCCTGAAGGAGCAGGAGGAGATCAACTTCCGGCTGAGGCAGTACATGGACAAGATAATCCTCGCCATCCTGGACCACAACCCCTCCATCCTTGAGATCAAACACTGAGACAAGGGCTGGCTGCAGAGCAGCCTTGGGGACTCAGACCCCCGGACCTTGGGACCAAGGGGCAGACCCTGCTTGGGGATGCAGCCCAAGCCGGGCCACACACGCACTCGCATGCGCGCACGCGCGCGCACACACACACACACACACTGTAAATGTATTTCCGGCCACCACGTTATGTGTACTGGTGTGTATGTGGGGGAAGCCGTGCACACAGCAAGGGGTGAGCGTGGGGCCGTGGGTGTGACATCTGTGCCCTTCCTGTCCCCTCATTCTGTGGCCTGTCTGCAGGGGCAGATGGTCCTGGATGTGGGAGGGGCAAGGTCTGCGATCGGGAGTTACTATAATAACAAGAACTGGAAGATGGCGTCTCAGATACTGGACAAAAATGATTCTACCTCTGGGGAGGAGGATTAAAACATGCTCTAGTGAGACAAGCTCTTTCACACCAGTCCCCGTTCCCTCCGGGAGTGGGAGCTGATGTCTGATCTTTTTCGGGAACTCAGATGCCCGACGACTACATCCTCCCCAACCTTTGACCACCTTTGAAGCCTAGGTGCTCAGGCCCTCCCAGAGCCCCCTCCCCAGCTGGCAGCCCCCACGATCCTTGGGCACTGTGTGTCCAAAGGACTCAGGCCTGCAGAGGCCCAGCTAGCATGGGGTGACCTTCATTCCAAGAGTTCTTGGTATTTTTAGAGTTCCCTGTACACCTCCCCATCCCCGCTTACCTACCTCTTTCTGTTTTATTTTTAAGACCATGAAAAATAAGCAGCATTTAACTTGGGTGTACAATGAAGAGATTCAAAGGAAGGAGCCGGGGGACACCGGGGGGTGTCTACAGTACGTGTTGGCATGGGCCATCCAGAGACCTGCTTTTCAGGGAGGAGCACGCTCATACCCCTGTTCGTTTCCTTCCCACTGCTGCATCCTAGGAAAAGCGAAGCACCGGAGGGACTGTTTCCATGGCATCGGTGGGCGGGGAGTGGACCTTCCTTGCTGCCCAGCTCCCTGGTCTCCACAAGGCCTGGGGATTCTGAGCTCTGGGCTTGGCTCAGCTGGGTGTCCCCCACCCCCACCCCCGACCCCGGGTCCCAGCTTTTAGAAACACTCTTGCGTTCCGTTCTCAGCCCTGCGAGGTGTGCTGGTGAGAGACACAGTTGGACGTTGTATGGAAACCTTAACCTTCCATCCTCAGTGGCACGTGGGGGAAATGCACCCTCTGGATTTTTAATGCGATCTTTTGTCTTGGGCAGCTGGGAGTACATAGGGTACTTTGAGTTTTCCCATTTGTCTCAGTGGTACATGGCTTGTGATTCGTTTCCTTAATCCGAGTATGTATAAATATGTATGGTCTTATTGTTTCCCCTGCAGTTTCTTGTTGTCTTCAGCAATTCTGGTGGAAAAAGGAAGGTCTGGGCATGTTGGGGAGAGGCCTTGAGGGGTGTTTGCAGAGAAGAGAGGACAGTAGAGGGTGGAGAGGGGCTTTGGGACTGGGGGATGAATGTTTCCTGTTCACAAAGGCAGGACCGGTCTTCACTCCGTGCCGGTCAGCTTCTGCTGCTGTTGGATCGCGTGGTTTCTCTCTAAGCCCATGTGTGGGCTTTGTTTCACGCCACAGATAATGGGGCTGCGTTGGTCTGATTCAGGACTTTGGGGTCACTCACCCCAAGAAGACTAGGGCATTCAGTTTTCTGAGAGTGTCTCAAGCCCGTAGGACACTGGTGTCCTTGGGCACCTCCTCGGGTCCGAGAAGCAGCAGCAGCAGTAGAAAGCAGGAGTAGGTCTCCTGAGAATTTGCTAAGAGGCGGGAATGGCCCCCAACTAAAGGAAAGGAAAGAAGACGTATCATGACTTGGCTTTAGTCTGGATTTTCCACTGGAAGGAGTCCTAGGGAAGCCAGCCGCATCAAGGTCCTGGTGCATGCAGGATTCGCCCCAGGGGTGAGCATTTTATATATGTGTAAAACTTTCTGTGCCCTTTAGCTGCACTGATATGGAATTCCAGAGAAGGCCCCAGAGGCCTGGATTATACAGTCACTGTGGGGATGGGAATTTCTGCTTTTGGAAAAGGGGGTGGAAAGCCATCGACTTGCAATGTTTTGCTGCCCCCTTCCTGAAGGGAGCACTTTGGCAGTGGCCTTCCTGAGGAAGCCTGAGTCTGAAAGGCCCCTAGGGACCGTCCTGGTGCTGGCCTTGGGGTCTCTGGAAGAGGGCCGACTTTAAAGTGAGGCGAAACTCCACATCTTCACCCAGGCGTCACCCATCCAACCTTCTTCAGCCGAAATTGTCTTATGAAACCTAGGCTGTCATTCCAGGTGGTGTTTGTAAGTGCTCTTCCATGAGTGAGAGCTAGTCCACGGGAGGCCCATGCCCCGGTGTCCCAAACCATGGCCCCCAGCGAGGGTACCCAGAGGTACTAACTCTGGGAGCAGGTGCAGCAGACCCCGCCCCCTTCCTGGGCTGCCCCCTCCTTTGTCTGTTGTCTAGTTGGGAGGTCTGCCGCAGCTGCCAGGTCGTACCCACAGTGCCCCACTTGGTGTGCATTTCAGGCGAGCAGAGCAGACCTCCCAGGAGGTGTTCTGTTCCATGCAGTACTTGGGACACGTCTGAAATGGAGAGATTTTAAAAATTCGGATAACCTGGGCCGAACTCCCAGAGGTTCAGTGTCATTGGTGTGGAGTGGGGCCTGGCTGTTGGAATGTTTAAAGAACTCCCCAGATGATTATAACTTAACTGAGTGCCCGAGGTGTGCTTTGTTTTGATTTGTTTTTTGTTTGTTTGTTTGTTTTTGCTAAACCAGGCAACTCTACCAAGTAAGGATTAGTAGTAACTCTTCCAAGGTTGTGAGGTGTTTGGGGGGCACCCGGAGGGGGTCCTGCAACAGACCCACCTTTTTACACGGCACTTGACTATCCTTAATTCAACGGGAAGCCAAACAATTTGCAGAATCAGTGAGTGAGCTTTATAAAGTTCTAGTAAAAAAAAAAAATACATATTTTTAAAATTTTAATTGGCCAAGTTAGACATATTATTTTAAGCTTGTAGATTCTTTGAGAATTGTCGGGGGGAAATTCCTTTATTTTGACTTTATTTCTCACTTATTACACAAACAGAGCCCAAGAACCTCCCAAAGCACTTGGACCGGAAACAGTGGTTTTCAGCTCAGGCTGTGCAGTGGAATAACCTGGGAAGATTTTCGAAATTCTGCTGACTGGCCTGAACCGGCCGCCGCCCCACCCCAAGATTCCAATTTAATTGGCATGGGTGTGGCCCAGGCATCCAGATATTTAAAGAGCTCCCCCGGCCATGCTGATGTGTAGCCCAAGGTGGAGACTAGAATGTTCCGCGTCAGGGGTGGAGAAAAGGGGTGGAACTGGCTGCAGGGTTTGTTAATCCAGGTGCTGCCTTAATGGTGGGGGTGTCGGTGGTGGCTTTGATGGGTGATGAGAAGTGAGCAGATCCCTCACCCCAGCATGGGAGGCCAGATGCCTTCAGGAATTGGCATATCCAGCTGTTTTCCGCAGCCTGGGGGTAAGCAAACCTGAGTGGGCAGGTCTCTCCCTGGTGCCTGCGGAATCGCGCATGGGCCCATTCCGGAGTCAGGGGTCAGGAAGGGCTGTACCCCTGACGACAGCCCCAGAAACAGTCCTCTACTTGCACAGCCGAGCAGGAGGGGATGCTTGCTGGCTTTGTGGGGTTTATCTCTGATCCGTTTTCAGGCTGGGTGGACGAGCGTCCCCCCAGCTCTTCCACTGTTAGTAGCCAAACCAGCATCCCGGCCTATGTTCTGGAGGCTCTGGGGCCCTCATCTGCTGGCAAGTCTGGTTCCTGACCCCATCAGGTCTGGCGGTCAGGGGGTGTAGATGCTTCCGTTCCAATAAGGGGCTTCATAACCAGCAGAAACCTGCAGGGGCCAGTGGGGCCTGGTGGCTCAGCGAGGAATTAAGCCATTTTTTGTGCTCTGTGGCTCTGTGTGTTCAAAGCAGTAGCAAATTTAAACCCAAAAGCCAGGGAAGTTTGGGGATGGTCACCATGCCAAGGAAATGACTATTTGCCTGGCAGGTCCACAGTGACTCTGAAAGCACTGGGGAGGGTTTTAGGTTGAGGACTTCAGTGCTGGCATTTCCCCCACCCCCCGGCTGTGCCTGCTGAGGGGGCTGTCAGCCAGAGGGGCCACATACCCCCATGTGACTTCAGGTTCCTTCCCTTGACGCGCTGACCTTAGGGACCTTCTGGGCCTGCCCTAGCCTCGTGGCAGAACAGCTCTAAGGCCCTTCTGCCACACTCTGCTGCCTACCCAAGAAAATCGGCGCCTTCTGGAAAGGCTTCTAAAAGCATAGACCCTGGTGAAGTGTGATGTCATAGGTCACTCCGATCTTGTAGGCTCCTCTCTCCCCGGGACTGTAGGGGGAGGGCTATCTGCCGTGAGCCGAGGGTGGCTGAGAATGGCATGGCCATGGCCTCCCACGCAGGCTGCCACTTGGGGGAGACTGCGCCTCCTGCCGGGCCCCCGGGGAGGGGGAACCTCACCTCCTGCCAGGCCCCACTGCTTTGCTGTGCTGCACAGGCCTTGTTTTGTCTGCATGGTTTGGGGTCGTCGTCCTTGTGCCTTTTTTCTTCCCTGTCACCCCTGTACAGGAGTTTCCATGTCCCCACTGCCCCTTTTCTACATCCTCTCTTTTCCTCTGGTCCTTCCCAAGCTCTGTAAATGTGTACATAGTGCCTCCACAGCGCCCGGAGTGCTCCTGGGCTAGCCCCTGCCCCCCCCGCCCCCCCCGCCCCGCACACTGATCCACTCCAAGAGGCTCAGCCTTCCCCTCTGCCCGCTCCACCTTGCAGACTCGGTAACTTTGTACAGAACTCTTTTCATTATGGTCTTAGCTTCCAGGGCTTGGACCCACTTAACGCCTCCACCCCTGGCACCTCCATGTGGCCCACCGCTAGTTTAGAAGCCTTGCACACCAGAAAAGGGTAACTTTGTGTAACACACCTTCTCCCCCAAACCTCTTCCTGTATTGGTGTCAATATTTCTAGAAAGCAGGGCGCCCCTTCCTCTCTGTGGGTCTGCGGGTCTGCAGCAGCGTCCCTGGCCCCGGGGCGGGGAAACTCCCACAGGA